CAGTAAGTCCCGGGCCATGTCTCTTCCTCCTCACCACCCCTTTGATTGATGCATCAACCTTTTCCCTGGCTTCACACCTCCAAAGGATCTAAGTTCTTCTCACTATCAGCTCCAGAGAGAAGGTCCATGGACAAATACGTCACAGAGTCGTTAGCAGCTGGGATCATCCACCCGTCCTCATCACCAGCTGGAGCAGGGTTCTTTTTTGGTGGTAAAGAAGGACAACCCCCCCCCACCCCCCAGCCCTGTAATGACTACAGAGGTCATTGCCTCTGCTTTTGAACTGTCGCAGGGAGCCACCATCTTCAACAAGCTTGACCTCAGGAATGCTTATCCTCTGGTTCATATTAGGCAAGGTGATATATTGAAAACTGCTTTCAACACACCTAGTGGTCATGCCTTTTGGTCTCACCAGTGCCCCTGCTGTCTTTCAGGCCATTGTTTATGATGTACTACATGGCCTGCTCAATGTCTGTGTGTTCGTTTAATTGGATGACATCCTTATATTTTCCAAGTCTCCCCAGGATCACATGCAGCATGCACATCAAGTTCTCCAGAGACTCCTGGAGAACAAGCTGTTCGTCAAAGCTGAAAAATGTGAGTTCAATGTGTCCAAGGTCTCATTCCTTGGATTCGTCATCAATAAAGGAGGTATCACTCTGCCTAGGTGCAGGCAGTCACCCAGTGACCTGTGCCACTCACTCGCAAGGATCTCCAACGGTTCCTGCAAACTTCTATCACTGTTTCATTCAGAACTACAGCTTAGAGGTCGCCCCTCTTACAGCCCTCACGTCCCAGAGGTCTGCATTCCAGTGCTTGTCCTGATAACCGCTTGTATGTTCCTGCCACTGTGCGATCTCAGGTTCTTCAATAGGGTCACTCATCACGCCTTGCCTGTCACTCTGGGGTGAGATGCACCCTAGCCCTAGATTTTCTGGTCATCCTCCATGGAAGGAAACATAGGGGAGTTCATTGCTGCATGTCGCACCTGTGCCCAGCAGAAGAATGCCTGACAGGCCCCCTTTGGTCTCCTTCAACATTTACCTGTTCCTCGTCATCCCTGGTCACACATCCCACAACCCTCCCTCCTGGTCCAAACAACTCATCTGGGTCGAATATGCCCATACCACACTCCCCAGCTCAGCCACAGGCCTCTCTCTGTTCCAGTGCTCCAAGGGTTACCAACCTCCTCTCTTCCCTGAGCAGCAGCAGGAGCCAGGGTCCCATCTGTCCAGGCCCTTATCCATCGGTGTCAACACACCTGGATGCAGGGACACTCCACACTCCTACGTTCCTCTGACCTTTACCAGCACCAAACCAATACGCTCCAGGACAGAGCATCTGGCTCTCCACTCGGGACCTTCCTCTCCAGGTGGAAAACAAGAAGCTGGTCCCCAGGTTCGTGGGACCATTCCACATCTCCAGGATCATCAACCCTGCAGCGGTCCGCCTTCGCCTTCCCCAGTCTATGAGAGTCCATCCCACATACCATACTTAAAAAACAATAGGGTTCTGTGCTTTACTGTATATTTTTGATGTTCTGTTCAAATTTATTTTAGGAGAATATAAACTTAACTCAAAAAAGACCAAAAGTTCCGCCAGTCTGTGTGTACATGCTAAAACAAAGTTTGCATATTCCTCCCTGCTGCTTATGCTTATTACTTTCATTGCATGGATCATAACTGAAGGAGATTCAGGAAATATCCACATTTTCACCATATCTTGCCTGGTATATTTTGTAAGGACAGCAATGGTATACAAGAGTTTTATGATTTGCTGGAGGAATTTGTTCTCTATTGTGCCCTGGAAGCGAATACTATTGTTTCTGACATTCAAGATCTCTTTGGTATAAAAAGACAACATGCGAAACAGTTTTGGCAGCACACACTGCTTTTATTTCTCTCATTTCACATTCTAGAAAAACAAAACATTGCACTAAGCAGGAATGAAAAAACAGAAGTTTTCAGTTCTATGTGTATCACTTACAGAGATGTAGTTATACACTGTAGCACACTGACAGTGAAAGCAGATGTAATGGTTCTGTGTCTCATTGACCAGGTGCAGTTCACATCCAACCAGAGGCTGAGTCGTCGACTCTTTCGCCAAAGGTTTTCATTTGCACACCTACGTCTCTGAGACCAGAACAAAGCATCTGTGCTTCCAATGGAGGTTCGACGCTACACACTGACTGACAGAGCTTCACACATTCTGTACCCATCTCAACCATACATAACCACACGCACTTAACAGACCTCCAACAGTCAACCTTAACATGTTTAGAATATTTCAATGTTTAAGAACATTTAGTGCTTTCGTGTCATCAGAATCCAAATCATTCAAATCTGTGTAGAAGAATACATAAAATGTTTGTTCAGTTTTTCAAAGACATTTGAAAGCGAATCATACAGGTTAACAGGTCCACGCAGTTTCTAACAACATAGTAACTGGCTCTGGGTCCTGATCTGTGTCTTTCCAAGGCAAGTGCAGACAGTGAAGTGAACAAACAAACTGAGGCGATCCTTGCCCATGTGCGGGAATTCAATTTAATTGTTTTTAAGATGAGTTTCTACAACATACTTTTACACTTCAACTCTCAATTGTTGAACCATTAAGCTACCACCAGCATTTGCCTCCTGTCTATATTTGTCCTGAAGTCATTTTTGGACTAGGGGCCTGCATCACAAAACGGGATTAGACGGTTATCCCTCTCTGGGCTACTCTTGTAATCTGTGGGTTTAGCTCAGATTTTCGATTATCACGAAGCTGCTTTTGACTGTGAATCACCATGGTAACTGCACAGCTAATCTGCTGTGGAGCAGCCACTTCAGAGGGTCAGATCAAAACCTGTTAACAGCAAAACTATGGTCAGATCCTAACCAGAAAAAACCCCATTCACCTTTACTACAGGGTCCTGACAGGGACGAAAGAGTTAACAGTAAATTGACAGTGAGAGAGAGTATTAGTGTTCAGCAGTGTAATTGTTTTGCTGTTCTCGGCTTTTTGAGTCCACTGTGGTTTTAAAACAGAGCTTGTAACAAATGAACAGACAGTTTACCCCATGGAATTACTGTGTAATGATGATTATAGCTCCCTTTTAATTGTGCAAAGATTATTTTACACCTCACAGATTTCCTCACAGTGTTGATGTTTTTACTTTCTTATTCTGTCACTGCAGCTCAGACCAACACAAGGAAACAGATGACAACTGGAAACAAAACCCTGTGTTGTCTTTTGTGAGGAAAATAATATGCACTGTATAATATTCCCATTGATTACAGGTCAAGCCTCTCGTATCACATCTCAAGATAAATTTCTTCATCATTCGTCTCACATATTACAAACAGGCAATCATTACTTTTTGCATTTATTTATATGCTTATTATAATAAGTTTTCTCTTATGCTATTCTAGTCATTTCACCTTGTTGAATATCATTCGGTTGTCACAGCCAGTTGATAACCAGATTACAGAACGGCCAATGTTGGCTTGGATGAAGCTTGAAAATGTATGTGTGCATGGCCAATTCATGTAGAGTTTGGACATGTGTCTGTGGTGGATCGACAAGCAGCTGACAGTGCTGATCAATTATTGTGAATAATGTTTTTTGGGGGAAATTTCTGGTGGGGAGGGTCAATGCCGATTTGATGGAGCTCGTTTCCTCAATGTTTAAACTAAATCCTCATCTTTCCCTCACCTAATCCAAAGCGTTCCGCAGCCTCAACCTAACCACACGCAGGATGAAACCCTGTTGACTGGTGTCAGATTTCCCTACCATGCCTGTGCTGAAAACAAAAACCAGGCAGAAAAAGTGTTTACTTCTAAATCTAATTTAGTCAACACATGGTAAAGTCTTCCATGATTACATGCAGAGGCAAAGGATTTCTATACATTTCACTTCAATGTTCAGGACATGATGTTACCAAACATTCGTGTGGACTAATTCAGTGTGCCTGGGAAGAATACTTGTTTTATTGTTTCACAACACTGAATCATAGTAGGTTTAATGTGGCTTTTTAGACACTGACTGAGGTGGCACAGAAAAAAATAAATTAAATTTGAATTAATTACAATAAAAGAAAAACCAAAATACATACATACAAGTATTCATACTCTTTAATATGACATAACTAAAACATGAGAGGTGCAGCCTATTGGTTTTAGAAGCCACAAAATCAGAGAAATGGAAATCACCTGAATTAAGTCGGGGGTTTTACCTGACTTAATATTATAAAACCAACTTCTGGTGAGTCAAACACTGGGGAGGATGGGGAGGGAGAGAGGGAGGGACCATCCATCAACATCTAGGACCAAATCATTTAGAAATATAGAAAGAGAAGAATAGGCTGGAGGTGAAGTCCAGTAGAAATGAATTAAGTTAAACTTTTCTTTGCTTGCAAGGCAATAACACCCAAGTCAACAAAGCTACAGAGATAATAACTTTCATCCAGTCATTATCTACCGTATATTGCTAATCCTCTTGGGGATAAGCCAATCCAACTTGACATTGGGGCATAGGCGGAGTACACCTGGGACAGATCACCGATGTATCACAGGGCCAACATACAGAGATTAACCATTAGGTCTCCAATCAACCTAACTCCAATCTGCATGTGTTTGGACTGTGGGAGGAAGCCGGAATACCTAGCGAAACCTACGTTTACATGGGGAGAACATGACAGGAAGACCCCTGGCCAAACTATTTGAGCTGGGCAACTCTTTGCTGTGAGCGGGCAATGCTAAACCAAATCTCAAACCAGCTGGGGCTTTGTAGCTTGACTTGAAGCAGGAATGTTTCTCAAGTGATCTCCATACAAACTGACTATACTGCTATTGGTAGGTTCAGTCTCACTGGACAATTGAGCAGTGACTGAACCTACCAATAGCTACACATAGAGTGTGAATACTTGCTTTAAATCAAATTAATCAATTTTCCCTCAATCTATCTGTATCACAAAAGACACATTTAATCAACAATGATTCAGTATCACACACATAAAACACTTTTGTGGGGCAAACACTTTTATATGCACTATAAGAAAAGATCTGTCAGATGGACAAGTCATACTGTTTGAATTGACATTTATCCAGAGAGTAGGGAGGTTAGGATAAAGATTAGAGATTAGACTTACAATTAAGATGTTGAAATAGTGCATGAGAACATAGACCACAGTGAAAAAGATATTCAAATATTAAAAACATCCATTAATTAAGAACCTATTCTTTTGACAAGCATATTTATATAAAATAGGAACTTTTCAATTCTTCCCTACTTCAGTTATTTGGTTTTTACTTCCAGTGGAAATCATGTAAAATATGATTAAGCAACAAAAGCAGGCATAAATACAGATAAGGCATCCTTTCCTTAGGCTTCCAATCAATACGCACCGTGGCACAAGTTTTCACACGTTCATCTCAGTTTGAACAAAGTGGTGTGGGAAAAGTTGGCCTTATTTCAAAAGTTAAAAAAAGGCAAATTCAAGCCTTTTTGTGCTTGGACAAAACAAAATGACATCTTATTTCCCAATTGAAAAAAGGGAAATATCCTCCTCTGTACTTGTCCTTGGTTACACCTACCGTTTACCATAGCTCTGTTCCAGCCATTTCTGCACATCCTTCAGATTGTAAAAAAAAGGCCCCTTACCACCCAAGTAGGCAATCTTTCTCTGTTGCACTATGCACACTCGTTCGTTAGACACACCGTAAGCAACATTGGCATTATTGTCCATGCAGTCTGCCACCAGGTGACACTGTGGCGGCAGTGAGAAGTGCTCAGTGAGTTTGCGCGCTGCTCCAAGCCTCTCCTCCAAGTTCTGGTGCTTCCGTACATTGAAAGAGGAGGAGCCCATAGGGGGGGCCACCCAGCCATCAGATGGGTGAGCTTCGTCAATGTACACCAACAGGAAGTCAGCCACATCGCTGAAGTCCTCAACCAACTGTCGAAAAGCTGGCAGGTGACTGATGAAGGGGGGTCAGGTGGCTGAGCCAAAGTTGACTACCAGAGGGCGATCTGATGAGCCAAAATCCAGAAGGCGGCACTCGTCCCCATTTCGCATCCTGGCACCAGTTGGCACATTGGTCACATTACTGATGTTGCTGCTACACCATGGGCCATCTGGCACCTTCACCACCTTGGAGTCGGGGGCCTCGCAGCCAAGTTTCACCTAAAGAGACATATACAGGAATTAAAGTTACCTCACTGAATGCACACATCAAGCAGATCTAAGGATATTGATGTATAAAGTTATTGTCAGTCCAGAACATGGATACGTGAAAGGGAACGAAATTAGGTTCTCAGCTCTAGTTCACGTCAATAGCAATGATTAAATCAAAAGAGCCCATTAAGGCACAATTAAAGGTCCAGTGTGAAAGATTTAGATGAAAGGGAACTATTTGCAGAAATGTAATGTAGAATAATCCTCATGATGTTTTCACTAGTTCATTTCATCTACATTGTATGAATTGTAGTTTTCTTTACCCCAGAAAAGGCCCTTTATATTTAAATACTTTATATTTACATGGAGGGGACCCTCTCTACGGAGGCCGCCATGTTTTTTACATTAGTCCAGACTGAACAAACTAAACACCTTTTGAGTTTTTATGACAACTGAAGTCTACCACAGGTTCTTTTTCATGTTTGGAAGAGGAGGGTGAGGTGAGGGGTGTTCAGCTGCAACATGCAACCTTAACACTACATATCACTAAATTCTATACACTGTACCTTTAACTAAATTAAGTTAATTAATATACAAATGTGTTTGTGAGCTGGGTGTAGTGTTAAGAATACAACTGCACATATCTGGATGAAAAAATAGAAGGCTAAATTGGCCGAAGTTGTGGCGAGGCCCTGATGCAAAACAAAAGCACTGATTGCAGCTAATTGTTCAGTGAGATGGAGAAAGTGTCGCAACATGACACATGAGAATGTAGTTGAAATGGAGAGATAAGACACAAGTCAAACGATTTTCCAGACAAAACACAAACTGTAATACTTTTTGGAGTTGTTTTAGATCCAAGTGAAACTTTGGCTAATCTCTACTAACAGTTATATGCATATAAATGCAGATATAATTAGAAAGACAATGCAAACCAGAAAGCCCCAAAACTTGTCCCTTGCCTACAGATTCTGTATATTCATATGCAGAATCTGTTTCTAGAGATTGTTGTGGATTACTGTGAGGCCTCTTGTGTGGGGTGGAGGGGAATTTTATTTTGGGATATCATTGATAGTTGCTATGCTGCTACCTATGGTTGCTGCAGTTCCTGTCTGTCTCCAGCAGAGCCACTACCACACAGTGATATCGCAGGCACCAAACATCTGCAGAGGGACTGAGGAGCCAAGGCCAATGTCCTTTAGCGTCCTTTTGAAGTAGACTGTGACAGTCTTTTTCAACCTACTCAATAATACAGTTTGATCAATAAAATTTAATCTAATAATAACACAAGGTGATTTCAGTCATTTAAAAGGAGTTAGACACATTTTGTTGGTTTCTTTTGATAACGAACTGCAACAAATACAGCAACTCAACAAAAGCAGGTCGTTAAGGCTGTTAATCGAGCACAGCTACACGGTTAGCAGTGGAGCTAACATCTTGGAAGGTTGTATGGACACAAACGAGTCAGAGGTTTTTTGGTTCTTCCAAACTGGTGACAGTGCATAAATGCAACATGAGGCTGGACTGAGATCGCCCAACTTCATCAGCTTATCAGAATCATAAAAGGAGCTCACTTCAACTAAACTGACAGAGATGATGGAAAAATAAGTAGAGGCATTTTAATAATATAAATTTGCACTTTGAAAGTGTAACTTTACTCTTGATTCATTCAGTTTAAAACATTAAAATCAATATGTAGAAAGAACTAGTGCTTCCTGCTGAAGCAATGCAGATACATCCTCAGTGTTTCAAGTATTTCAATTTATGACTTCAAACTTGGCAACGGTTGAATGATTCAGTATCTCATGCTTACCAATGCTGGCATGTTGCCACCATAGTTTGATATAAACTAGTTGCCAAGGGGAAGCAGTTAAGTGCCACTGATGATTTACCAGTAGGACTTTGATTTCCTGGAGACTCACAGGGGTCATACTGGAGAAGAACATACTGATGAGAAAACTGGGTGAACGAAAAACCGACACAACACATAAGGTGTTTTTGTTGTTGTCTGAGGATGTTGTCATCATGGGCATATATTTGAGTATTTACATGTCAATATTAATGTCTAGGTGTTAAAATTATCTGCAAAATTATGGATATCCTGGTTAAGAGAGGGGGGATACTGCTATGATCTGGCAACCCTTAACATCAAACTACACCGTACATGGTTGACCAGCAGTAGCAGTGGAGGAGCAGGTGATGAGCGGTGGTGGATCTGAAATGTTGCAAACAGTTTCTCATGTCACATCATTGAAAACATCCTTTCTAGACAAACTTAGCATTAGAGTTAATCTAACAATTTGAGGTGATATTACTCGACTACACCTCGGCTAAGAAGACGGTCTAAGTCAAGTCGCGCTTATATGTAGCACTTAGTAGTTTGGCTTTATTGAAGCTAATGCACTTAAATGAGACTTGCTGTTTTGGGGTTGTTCCCTCATGGTTGAATGCACTTATTGGAAGTCGCTTTGGATGAAAGCTTCAGCGAAATGATATGTAATGTAATGTAATGTTATAAAAATACCTCCCAACATCCAGTCCTTTTTAAAGAGGAAACGAGGTGAAAGTTAGACCTGTGCTTAGCTTGTGATCTTTGTGTATGCCTCCTTCCCCCCTTAAATCAGTGGATCAAGAGCTGAGGTATTACTGCAATATTTATACAGCTAAGTAACCACAGCTATCTCGGCTGATTTGTTGGGGAATGTCAGAAATTGCGAGTTGTTGGATGTCAGCAGTTTAGAGCAACACAGAGACACAGTGACCTCACAGAGACAAGGACAGGAGAGCTGTGATGTCATAGAGACGCAGAGGGGGGTGAACTGTGATGTCACAGTCAACTTTCTGAGGTCAGACTCTTTATATGCATGTGTGAGCTGTATAATGTTATTTTGGACAATAAATCTGAAGCAGATAAAACCAAACCTCGTGGCTGCTGGGCTTTATAGAACGTATGAGCAGAAACAAATGAACCTGGAGCTCTTAAAACAACTAGAGGCAAGGCTTTTCTGAAGATGCGGTCCTAAAGGTCGTAAGGTCATACCGACGGGAGCGCAGAGGCTCGGGAGCTTATATCAAGGCACAGTGAGCAGCATTAACAACAGACACAAGTTCACCTGCTTGTATGCGTCCAGGAGGAAACTGTTCCAGATGGAGCGGAGTCCCGCGGAGGTCAACATGCGGCGCCACTCTCCGGAGCCGCCGGACCTGGAGCTGCTGAGCAGCGCAACGACGCGCTTCACCAGCAGCACGGAGTCGTACAGGACGAGGAAGAGACAGTTCGAAAAGAAACCAGGTAGTATCTGCAGAGTCACGAGCAGATCCTCACTCGCCATTCCCATTTTTTCCCCCCCGTCTATCGCTCCGTCTTCTATAGGCACGCTGCGCTCATGCTTCCCTCTGCGCTCCGCCGACTGTTCCAGAGTTTGTGCGGGAGGACGGGGGAGGATCAGGTGCGTCCTCTGGTGCTCAGCGCCGCCGGACCGCTGCAGCTCCGCCGCTGTTCTTCAAAGACCGCACATTGTACTTCATATGAGGCTTTATCTTTGGAGCAAGCCCCTGACGTCAGATGTGGAGCACAGCCTGTGTCCCCTCCTTCCTCCACCCTCTCCTCCCTCAGCCCCGTGCTCAGTGACTCCCCCACCACCCTCCTCCTCTTCTATTCCCCTCCTTTTCCAGTTCTATCACGTATTTTGCATTGAATTATCCTGAAGAAAGAACGAGCCTGCTGTATATCCATGCGCTTCAGGTATGTTTTGACCTTCAGCAGATACACTCTTAAAAATAAACCTGGAAATGGTTCCAAAGGGTTATTCAAAGCACCATGTCTTGAAGAACTCTATTTTTTTTTTTAATTTAGTTCCCCAAAGAACCATAACCAGCAAGACAGGGTTCCCTAGAGCACTCAAAGTGTTCCAGAGCATTTGGAAAGAACCAGTTTTTCTTTTTTTACAGGCGTTACTCCCATGATTTTATGGTATTATAGTCTTTAAATGTATTTTACTGACTATATACTCTGCTTGAGACATTGTCAAAGTATAATACAAAAGCAGTTAATCAACAACCTAATTAGATTTGCCAAATGTCTGATTCACTTGATTTGAAAAATATAATACGGCAACCAAAATACAGATATTTTTTAACATCAAAATTAAATTAATGAATCTACACAGGCACAATGTTGCTCATACCACTGTTGCAATATTATTGAAAAATACAATTTATTGAACGCTGAAAAAGTACAACCTGTGTCTGTTCATAAGATACTATGAGTCTGCTCCACCCCTGGAACCATTTGATTTCACAGCTCATGTTAAAATAAGACAAACCAGATCATCAAGGGGAGCAAAACAAATATAAGAGGGTGGTTTAGTTTTGATCTGGGCATGAAGGGGGGAAAACGGCCATGACAGCCTGCTTGGAATTTGTCACTCATACAACAGAGGAAAAACTTTAATTGATTTGATCAGACAAAAATATAAACTCACACAAAACAACAGGCTCATCACCTGACTGATCTTAAAATCTGCATGCAGCACACTCTCGCAACCCTTCTCTCTCTCCCAACACACAAACACACATGTTACATATGGAGCGGTAAAGGGACATCTGATGACAAGTGGACATTGGAGACACGTTCTATTCCCAGGTTTGACCCACTTATGATAAGATGTGAGACTGGAGTTTAAAACCAGGTCTGGAAAAAAAAAAAAAATCCTCAGGGCTATGTTTTTCAGCATAACAATGACCTGCAGCAGACTGTAAAGAAAACACTGTTGTGGCTTAAGGACAAGTCTCTTGCTGTCTTTGAGCGACTCAGCCAAAGCACAGAATTAAACCTGATATAACATCTGCAGGGAGACCTGGCAGTTCACTGAGACTTCCCATCCAGTCTGACAGAGCCTGAGAGGATCTGCCAGGAATAATGAGATGAACCGCCAAATTCCAGGTGTGTAGGGCCTGTGCAGGCCTGCCCAAGGAGACTGTAGGAGGTGTAATTGCTGCGAAAGGGGCTTTTACCAAGTACAAAGTGTGCAGATATCCAGTGGTCTGAAGACACTGATATGAACGGCTACTGGATATGACTTCTGTTAATTAAGCTAAACCAACAAGGGTTAGTATTTGGGTGCTTTACAGCAGATGCCTCATTCGCATAAAGCATGTTGAGACTAAGTCTGAACTCACTCCCTGATTCCCTCCTACTCCCTGTAACAGACATATGTTGAAGTGTAAATTGATATCAAAACAGCTTCAGTGATTTGTGACAAGATATTGGAAACTTTCCTCTGGGACTCTGCTTCATGTTGACATGATCCATCAGGCTGCCATCTCTTATTCCACCACATGCCACACCTGCTTTCACATCTGTGTCTGGAGACAAAGGTTGAGTATGCCCCCCCCACCCCCCACTATAATAGTGCTTCAGCAATATTTTTTTAATAGTTCTGGTGCATAAACTTTGACAGAACCTTTGTTTTTTTAAAGCAGAAAATGACAGAGAACTTGCAATTTGGAAGTTGAAATTTAACAACTGAACATATTAACAGTTTCAGGAATAGTTGATTTAGAAATACAAGTAGAAATAAGTGCCAAACTTACATAAAAAGATCACATAAAAATGAAACCTAACCCAACTACAATAATTAAATATTGAATAGGAGGTGCAGTGCTTAATACAGCCAAATATTCCTACCCATCATCAATTGTCTCCTGTCTCCCCACGGCTGGCTTCAGGCAGTCAAACACACAGCATGTTCCTCCCTTCCTTCTTGTGAATACTGGATCGCTAACAACAAGGTGCATATTGCCACTAACGCTATGAGCTCCCGGGACTCATCAGCAGCAGCAGCTGGTCCCAGCTCTTGGCTCCCTGCTCTCGGCTATTGCACAGCATGTCCTGGTGTTGGAATACTTTCGGGTGAAACACAGCTACACTTTTGACTTTTGAACGGCACTAGATTTCCGAACCCAACCCTCGTGGAGATGTGTGAATTGTGGTCATAAAGGCACCAGGACATGATGACATGAGAGGCTGAAAGTTCATGTTAAGGGGAAGGTAATTTATTACACTTACAGAAACATTGCGTAATATGGGATGTGATTACAGTCAACCTTCCACCTTCCCTTCCTTCCTCTCTCTCTCTCTCTGTCACACACACTGGAGGGTGCAGATCCTCTAATGCCCTGGCTATCATTAATCTTTATGACCAAATTATAAAGTTACCAGCATCCATCAAACATCTATCTGCACAGAGACAATCAATTCCTCAAGGAGGTTTTAACCCATGTGTTTTTGATGCTGGTATTTTTTTTAAATTATTATTTGTAAGAAAGATCACACAAACAACGGATTTGGTAGATTTTCCAGGCAATAATTCATGGATCAGACACATTTAGGGAATTTATATCTATGAGTGTTGGGAATTTAAAAGGAGCTTAATTGAATTTAAGGGGACTGTTAAGCCTGTTGGGCGGGTTAATGCGTTCAGCTGGGTTCAATTCTAGTTTATGATGCATTAGGCGAGGCTGACAAGGACATTAAAGATGACTGTGTGGAGATATATGGGAGGTTTGAGTGAAAGAGAGAGAGAGAGAGAGAGACAGCTGGTGGATTGTGGGTCTGGTTGGATACATTCTCACAAGTGTGGGTTGACTCTCATATGGGGTTGGAGGGGTCATCAATGGAGCCTGTTGGCCTTTGATTCCTAATGACTATCAGTCAACCACCATTCTGCGGCTTTTTGTAGGACCACCTATTGCACACACGAGTGGTTATCTGAGTTACTGTAGTCTTCCTGTCAGCTCTGACAGCTCAGGCCATTCTCTGACTTCTCTCGTCACAAACTCATGAGATGTTCTTATAAAATCACAGGAGATCCTTTGTGTCAGACTTACTCAAACCAACAGTCATGCTACTGTCAATGTCCCTTAGATAACATTCTGATGTTTGCCAGAGGAAACCACAGTCATTAAACCACTCGCGTGTGATACCCACTTGATTGTATGAGAGCCATTCTGTCAGGTTTTAGAGGGAGCGGGCGGGTAAGCGAGCAGGCGGACCCAAAAATGCAGAACAAAAAGGTTTTCACTAAAAGTGTCCTTTAGTAATGAAGGCAGGGCTTTTACAAGGAAAACAAACAAAATCTAAAATAATCGGAACAAATAAATGCTCTCAGCAAAATCAGGGGAGACACAAGGAAACACTGGAGATCTTACTAGGGAGGAGAAACAATGACGCAGTATTGAGACGACAAAGCACGACAACGAACCGACAAAGACAAGCACAAAGACTTAAATACACACTGAACTAATGACAAACTAGAGACAGGTGGCACAGGTGAAACTGACAACGGCAGGAAGTCCTGGTGGAAAACACACAAGGAGCAGAAACTACAAAATAAAACAGGAAACAGAGAGGAGCACAGAGAGGAGCACAGAGTGAAGCACAGAGAGGAGCACAAACACAAATCCAAACATAAGGAAAACACAGTCCATGATAGAAATGAAAAAAACTATCTTTTCATAAAAGACACACAAAAAAAGAGTCATGACTCGTTCATTCAAAATAATGCTGAATAATGTCAAACAATTATAAAAACCAGGATTACTCCGAAAAAACTACTACTAAGTATTAACGATTGATTCTTATAGCAACTACTGCACATGCATTCAATGTTTCACCTACAGTTTATGAAAATTACACTGCAAAGACTGGAGGATTGGGTTCCACCTGACACCCAATATTTGCAAATGGCACTGTGCTAAAGGGCTTGCATGGTGATCTTCTATGATAACAATAATCAAATGTAAAAAAAAACTATACAGCTGTCTTCCGAACATGAAAAAGAACCTGTGGTAGCCTCCAGAAAGGAGTTTAGTTTGTCCAGGTTGGACTTCTGTAAAAAAAAAAAAACAATTCCTACAATTTAGATGAAACGCTCTAGTGAGAACATCACAAGGATTATTTTATATTACATTTCTGCTAATAGATCCCTTTCAGTTGGATCTTACACACTGGACCTTTAAAACACCATTTCTTTCTCTTCATGTTATCAGTCTCTCTGTGTCTTCCTCTCTTCTGTCCTTCTCCTAAAACACCAGACTAAAGTGGAAAACAGCAGGGGGCTTTCTGTCCTCCTCTCCATCTTTTTTGGCAAAAGCCATTACCATTATCAATTTTTTATTCAAATTCTTAAATTTTAATTTAGTTTCACTATGATGTACAGCAGAATTCTGGCTGTATGTTTCTTTTAGGTCTGAATGAATTCATGTGAGTGCAATAACTTTCTAAAAGGCGAAAAAGCGGAGGCACAGATGTTTTGAAGTCAGATATTCTACAAGGTTTACTCAATAATAGATCTGTCGTGCAGCGCAGGATGAATCTTGAATGATGATGTTATTTTTACCTCACAATGAACTGAAGTCAAAAACCATCTCAAAAGTGAATAGAATATTGTCATGAAAGCTTTTCAGTCTTACTTAATTTCCAAATTTGAGTATGTGCCAGTGCCTTTTTTCTGCCAGCAGGCAACAACACTAAAAAAAGGTTATGGTT